ATCATTGCGTGTGTGTCGTGAGAGTTGCCGGAGGGAGATTGAAGCAGCAGGTGGGCAGCAGCATCTTCATATCATTGCGTGTGTGTCGTGAGAGTTGCCGGAGGGAGATTGAAGCAGCAGGTGGGCAGCAGCATCTTGATATCATTGCATGTGTGTCGTGAGAGTTGCCGGAGGGAGATTGAAGCAGCAGGTGGGCAGCAGCATCTTCATATCATTGCGTATGTGTCGTGAGAGTTGCCGGAGGGAGATTGAAGCAGCAGGTGGGCAGCAGCATCTTCATATCATTGCGTGTGTGTCGTGAGAGTTGCCGGAGGGAGATTGAAGCAGCAGGTGGGCAGCAGCATCTTCATATCATTGCGCGTGTGTCGTGAGAGTTGCCGGAGGGAGATTGAAGCAGCTGGTGGGCAGCAGCATCTTCATATCATTGCGTGTGTGTCGTGAGAGTTGCCGGAGGGACATTGAAGCAGCAGGTGGGCAGCAGCATCTTCATATCATTGCGTGTGTGTCGTGAGAGTTGCCGAAGGAAGATTGAAGCAGCAGGTGGGCAGGCAGCATCTTCATATCATTGCTTGTGTGTCGTGAGAGTTGCCGGAGGGAGATTGAAGCAGCAGGTGGGCAGCAGCATCTTCATATCATTGCAAGTGTGTCGTGAGAGTTGCCGGAGGGATATTGAAGCAGCAGGTGGGCAGCAGCATCTTCATATCATTGCGTGTGTGTCGTGAGAGTTGCCGGAGTGAGATTGAAGCAGCAGGTGGGCAGCAGCATCTTCATATCATTGCGTGTGTGTCGTGAGAGTTGCCGGAGGGAGATTGAAGCAGCAGGTGGGCAGCAGCATCTTCATATCATTGCATGTGTGTCGTGAGAGTTGCCGGAGGGAGATTGAAGCAGCAGGTGGGCAGCAGCATCTTCATGTCATTGCGTGTGTGTCGTGAGAGTTGCCGGAGGGAGATTGAAGCAGCAGGTGGGCAGCAGCATCTTCATATCATTGCATGTGTGTCGTGAGAGCTGCCGGAGGGAGATTGAAGCAGCAGGTGGGCAGCAGCATCTTCATATCATTGCATGTGTGTCGTGAGAGTTGCCGGAGGGAGATTGAAGCAGCAGGTGGGCAGCAGCATCTTCATATCATTGCATGTGTGTCGTGAGAGTTGCCGGAGGGAGATTGAAGCAGCAGGTGGGCAGCAGCATCTTCATATCATTGCGTGTGTGTCGTGAGAGTTGCCGGAGTGAGATTGAAGCAGCAGGTGGGCAGCAGCATCTTCATATCATTGCGTGTGTGTCGTGAGAGTTGCCGGAGGGAGATTGAAGCAGCAGGTGGGCAGCAGCATCTTCATATCATTGCATGTGTGTCGTGAGAGTTGCCGGAGGGAGATTGAAGCAGCAGGTGGGCAGCAGCATCTTCATATCATTGCGTATGTGTCGTGAGAGTTGCCGGAGGACATTGAAGCAGCAGGTGGGCAGCAGCATCTTCATATCATTGCGTGTGTGTCGTGAGAGTTGCCGGAGGGAGATTGAAGCAGCAGGTGGGCAGCAGCATCTTCATATCATTGCGCGTGTGTCGTGAGAGTTGCCGGAGGGAGATTGAAGCAGCTGGTGGGCAGCAGCATCTTCATATCATTGCGTGTGTGTCGTGAGAGTTGCCGGAGGGACATTGAAGCAGCAGGTGGGCAGCAGCATCTTCATATCATTGCGTGTGTGTCGTGAGAGTTGCCGGAGGAAGATTGAAGCAGCAGGTGGGCAGCAGCATCTTCATATCATTGCTTGTGTGTCGTGAGAGTTGCCGGAGGGAGATTGAAGCAGCAGGTGGGCAGCAGCATCTTCATATCATTGCGAGTGTGTCGTGAGAGTTGCCGGAGGGAGATTGAAGCAGCAGGTGGGCAGCAGCATCTTCATATCATTGCATGTGTGTCGTGAGAGTTGCCGGAGGTAGATTAAAGCAGCAGGTGGGCAGCAGCATCTTCATATCATTGCATGTGTGTCGTGAGAGTTGCCGGAGGGAGATTGAAGCAGCAGGTGGGCAGCAGCATCTTCATATCTATGCATGTGTGTCGTGAGAGTTGCCGGAGGGAGATTGAAGCAGCAGGTGGGCAGTAGCATCTTCATATCATTTCGTGTGTGTCGTGAGGGTTGCCGGAGGGAGATTGAAGCAGCAGGTGGGCAGCAGCATCTTCATATCATTGCGTGTGTGTCGTGAGAGTTGCCGGAGGGAGATTGAAGCAGCAGGTGGGCAGCAGCATCTTCATATCATTGCGTGTGTGTCGTGAGAGTTGCCGGAGGAAGATTGAAGCAGCAGGTGGGCAGCAGCATCTTCATATCATTGCATGTGTGTCGTGAGAGTTGCCGGAGGTAGATTGAAGCAGCAGGTGGGCAGCAGCATCTTCATATCATTGCGTGTGTGTCGTGAGAGTTGCCGGAGGGAGATTGAAGCAGCAGGTGGGCAGCAGCATCTTCATATCATTGCGTGTGTGTCGTGAGAGTTGCCGGAGGGAGATTGAAGCAGCAGGTGGGGAGCAGCATCTTCATATCATTGCGTGTGTGTCGTGAGAGTGCCGGAGGGACATTGAAGCAGCAGGTGGGCAGCAGCATCTTTATATCATTGCATGTGTGTCGTGAGAGCTGCCGGAGGGACATTGAAGCAGCAGGTGGGCAGCAGCATCTTCCTCATATCTGAACATAATAACGGCTGAGACACCCCCCTATGAGTAATCAATAGGGGAGGCTAGTGTTCAATAATGGACTTTTGATAGGATGTAGTGAATGAATTAATTAATGAATTATGCATACGAAAATTAATAAATGATACGCACCAAACAAAAAATATTTATACATATATATTTAAAAGGAAGTTGAAAGATTGATTCAAATTACATACTGATGAAACATGCACAAACACATTTTGATCTTATTAACATAATATGTCACCAAATTTTATGAAAATCGTTGGAGCCGTTTCCGAGATTCCGATTAATATATAAAATATATATATATATATATATATATACAACATGTAACAAAAAACCCTGTGGTTCCCGTTAAGTGCGTTATCAGAATCAGTATCCAAGCGTATAGAAATAATTTTTTTTTTCAAAAAACACATTTTAAAAAATTAATTTTAATGAAAAAAAAATTAATTTGCAAATTGTATGTGGTTTTACTATCTCAAACTGAAATGGGAAATAGATGGGTTCATTAAAAGCATATTTTCTTAGTAAATTTTTATTCTATCTCTTACCATTTTTTTAAATGAATTTTTAACATATTTTTGTAATTATCCCAATTTTCTAGTATTTTGGTTCAATAACTTCTACTATATCTAGTTTTCTACAATTTTTTTTATTTTTCCTAAGAAATATGATTTTTTAAATAAAAGAAAGATTTAAAGCCCAAAAGATATAAAAAAATACTTACGACACATTAAAAGTGAACAAACGAGAAAAAAAATTGTAAGCCCTTAAGTTTCCAGCCACTTAAAAAAATAAATAAATATGTTTAGTAATTTCAAATGGCCATCAAAAATTTTCTATTTCATCCTCTTTCTATCGGTATATCACTTGTTACATAAAACTTTAGATTATCAACAAAATTGTTGATAATCAAATGTGAGGACGGGGAAATTAAAAAATTACAAGTTTCGTAAAAATTGCCAGGGCACCCTTAAACTGGTTTTTTACCCGTGTTAATATTTTTTATGGTTTCATTCCTGCATGTTCGAGCCAGGTAGATGTTGTCTCTTTCTGGTGGTACAGGCGAAGGTACGACGCGCGGATCAGCCACCTTTTTTTATGCTTATGCTTCAGAGACAGTCAAATCACGACTAAATTTAATTACAAAAAAATTTGAAAAATTCATTTAAAAGAATGGTAAGAGATAGAAAAAAATTTACTAAGAAAATATGCTTCTAACGGACCAATCTATCTCCCATTTCAGTATGTCGGACCACCCAAACCCAAACACCCTGTATATATTAGGGTGGAGCGCACTTGTATGGGATATTTTTTTTTGTGGAATATTGAAGTGGCGGATGTCGCAAAAGGTGCTCTGATACTAACATAACCCTGTCGTATAATATCATCTATAAAAAATATAATTAGAAGTACTGCCGCATAGCTCGCAAAGTTTTCGAAATGTGCGAAAAAAAGGTATACTTTCTTGACATGTAAAATGGTTTTAAATAAATTGTTTTTCTTAAAAATGCCTTTATTCACATATGAAAAAGTGCCACTATGATATAAATTGTTAAAAAAGAACAAAAAGTTACACAATGTTGCCTATAGCGTCATATTTTTCATCTACCAATCGCGCATTGTTTTACCATATAAGGTCATTGGCCGAGCGTTTCGCCCTCCACAGGCGAGAGTGCGGGACGCGGGTTAATTGTGTCGCATCGTTCTCTGCGTAATTAGTCATTTAGCTAGATTTGACATGAGACAACGTAAAAAGTAGTATAATGAGTTTAAGAAGTAATTATTCGTCGCCTATCTTCGGTACTGGTTGTGAATCACCAAAAAATGTGCTGCCAACCTACAGTGATGTGATGAAATATTATGTCTTTGTATCAGTGGCACGATGTGCGGAAAAGGGCCGACAAGATTTAGTACAGGCCACTTGTGATATTGTTGCGACCGAAATCGAAAACATCTGGAAACGAGCCTCTTTACCAATAGTACAACATAAAACAATAGTGTCAAAAATAAGATCCTATCATGACAAACATCGCGCCCTTCTGAAATCCTACCAAAAGAGTAAAGACAACGAAAATTATGAACAGAAACTACAGAAGTTTAAAGAAGACTGTGAAGTTTTGTTTGGTATTGCATCTTGTAAGTGCAAGTCGTTGTCGACATGTTCTTGTGAGAAAACTCGTAAAATTCCTAAACAAGAACACGAGTTTTTGCTCGATCAAAGTGTCGAAAGAAGAATATAATCTAGATAAAAAAGCTACACTTAAGAATATGGCTTTGTCTGATCGGAAGTTAAAAAGAAAATAATTTGAAGAGAACTCTATGACATTACAAATTGATGAACCTGAGCAGAAAAGAAGGAAAACAAAAACTTCGTCTGTTATTAATGTCACCTCGATTGTGCCCGCAATTAATGTCCCCGGACCTAGTAAATTCCCAGTGGTAGCTATGACATTAGATAGATACGACATTTCAGACCGTGCTGGTGCTGCCATCGTGTCGGCTACGTTGCAAGATATCGGTCTGGTTACTGAGAGTGACACGTCAAGTGTTATCGACCATAGCAAAATTCGGCGCGCTCGCGCACAAACGAGAAGTTCAGGGGCTGCAGTTAACGTGCTAGATGGCGATGATTTTTGGTTTGTATATCATTTAATGGCCGCAAAGATAAAACAATGTTATATGAAGATAATCGCAGAAAAACCGTTGTTGAAGAGCACATAACCTTGGTAAAAGTGCCGAACTCGCAATACATCGGTCACTTTACACTGGCCACAGCAGATGCACTCACAATTTCAAAAAAACTTTACCTTTATTTGGCGTTGAAATGCTATTTGAAGCGAATAATAGCAGTTGGGTGCGACGGTACGGCAGTCAACACCGGTAACAAGGCTGGAATCATTTGTCTTCTAGAAAAGAAACTTCATCGCCCTCTTCAATGGCTCGTGTGTCTATTGCATTCCAACGAACTTCCTTTACGACATCTGTTTGAGCATCTTGATGGGAAAACTATAGGACCAAGAAGTTTCACACACATCATTGGTAAAGCGTTGAAGGGTTGTGAGAATCTTCCAGTGGTTTAATTTACACCCATCGCATGTAAACTACCAGATATTTCAACATCACGTAGTGATCTCAGTACAGATCAACTTTCCTTGTATGAAATATGTGACGCAGTTAGCAGAGGACAATGTGACGTAAATTTAGCCAAGCGAAACCCCGGAAAGATTGTTCATTCACGGTGGCTGACAACAGCTAACAGGATACTTCGACTATATGTTTTCACTAGTGAACCTTCACATAATAAGCATATCTTAGCAGACTTCGTCATCCGAGTGTATGCTCCGATATGTTTGAAATTAAAACAAAACCATTTTGCGTTTACGGACCGAAACCCCTGCACAAAATGATTACACTATCGAGATACCTTCCTGCAAACCTTATGAAAATAGTTGACCCTGTGCTTCAACGCAATGGGTACTTCGGCCACAGCGAAAACATTTTGCTTAGTATGCTTGCAGACGATCGCAACCATATCAAAGAATTAGCACTCCGGCGCATTGTTAAAATACGAGAGCAGACTTCGGGCTTGACGCCGATACGAGTGTTTAAATTACCATCATTTAACTTCTCTGCCGCTGAGTATACAGATTTGATTGATTGGAGCTTTGTATCAGAGCCTCCCTGATCAAACAGATACAAACCAACGTATTTTATAGAGCTATTCGGAATACTGAAATAGTCGAAACGGAGATTCTGCCTACATTTCGCAAAATACCATGCCACTCACTAGCTACTGAAAGATGCAATAAGCTGGTCACTGAGTCATGTGCTGCTTATGTGCGGACCAGACAAACGTGAAGGATGGATCCGAAACAAGTTAAAATCGTGCAGTATCATGCCGGTCTTCAACATAAAAAAAGAGTTCATAGCCTCAGTCGTAGCTCACCAAACGGCGAAAAATTAATAATTTTAGATGTTTTATTTTTTATTTTAATGGAAAGTACATTATTTTTTGTATTTTTTTTCACTCGCTATAATGTAAAGTGTTAAATTATTTAATAAAACATACGATTTTCCAAATTTTTTGTATCTGTTTCACATTTACCAAAATCCCTTATTTTCAGGATTTTTGAAATTTTCAATGGCCATGCGGCAGTACTTCCAGTCAAAATTCATGTTTTCTGTCCTAATATATTCTGAATGTATCAGTACAGGGCACCGTTTCCGCACTCCGCCGTATCTAAAATGTAAAAAAAAAAAAAAAACACTCCACCCTAATTAATAAAATTATATATATATATATATATATGATGTAATGTGTGTGTGTGTGTGTGTGTACAGTAATTGAATAATAAGTAAATAAAAACAACTTTTTTTTTATGTGAAAATTCATTAATATAATATTTAACATTATAATAAATAACTTAACTAATAAAATTATAATATTTACGATTAAAACTAATTATATATACAATATAAAAGAAGAAACTATAATATAGAAAACCTAAAACTAAAAATTTAAATCGTCAAAAAGACCTGCTCCCCGTGGTATAGTGCCAAGAACGCTGGCTGCGTTTCCTCGCTGAATAGCTATACTTAGCCTTTGAGCGAGGAAAGAACCAGCCCTCTTATCACCAGCAGCGACGACCAGTCGTGGATACAGTTCCTTTAGAAACTTCATTGCACGTGGACCCCACGGACCGATAGTCTCTACAGCAAATGGCACAAATATGTAGTCATTTCTCAAAGACTCATATTTGCGCCATTTACTAAATTCGGCTGCCTCTGATGCCGCCCCCGGCTCTACAACAGGTACCCTTGAGATGAGAGGCCGCCAAAATGTCAACGCAAGTAGCATCCCACACTAGGGCTTTACCTCTCTCCCAAGGAACCAAAGTCATACCGTCGGGTCTCTTGCCATCGTCTCTAAATATCCCGCAAGGCTCTAAAACCGAGGGGATATTTATAGAGACAAGAGCCCTTCGGATGATTTCGTTCAAAGAACCGTGACGGGAAAACCTACCTGCACTTTTCTTGCATGAAAGTCCGTGGAGCCGAAACTCATCGACGCTGCTACCACAGGGGCACTGGTGAGGTTGACAAATAGCCACTCCTAGCCGGATTCCTACGGCGATGCGCAAGCTTTCCCCATCAAGCAATGTGCCGAGATTACTTGATGGTAGAGCATGTAACCAGTGGTTAGATTCCTTAGTTGAAACAGCTAGAAAGCGAGCCTGATCTTGTTGAATATGGAAATTTTGAAATAAATTTTTGTGGACACTCCGTACCAACGGAATATCCCACTGTTTTTGTTGGTTAACTTCCAGTGGGACATTTTCGCCGGGACAGAGCGTTAGCCATATTTGCTTTGCCTCCGCAGCAAAGCATAGGTCTGCTTTATTATTTAAAATTGTGTTACATATGTCATTGACACTATGCACGGAAGCAAGAAAAGCAGGCAATGCGACGCTAGAAATATTTCTTATACCAATTCCACCAAATTTGATAGGTAAAGTGGCTTGATTCCAGGCTATTGTATTTAATCTCAAATTTAGAATGTTTTCTAAAGCAATTTTAAGACTATTATCAATATCTTTTAAAATATCCGAACATTTCCAGACTGGACTTGAGCGTAACAAGTATGTAAATTTAGGTACAAGGACACAATATTTTAAAATAGTAAGGGCAATATGGGGGTTTAAAATATATAATTTATCAACGTGATTTAAAAATTGATCAAATTTTGTTTTTAAAACAGGTTTAATACTATCGAAAAACAACGGAGCACCAAGCAGGTAAAATGATTCCGAATTGACAGTTTTTATTCCTGGAGAAATCTGATTGAAATTTTGAATTAAGGTATCTCTTTTAGAATTAGATAAATTATTAGAAATAAATATTTCACATTTATTTGTATTTGGTTCAAGATCAATATTTTTAAAATTTTGAAAAATATGAGTAAGATCATTGAGGACATCATCTGCTTTACCTCCCAGTGTACCAGGTACTCGTCCAGATACCAGACATTCAGCTTGGATTTTAAATTTGAAATAATAGGTTGAATTCCCAAACTGAAAAGAGCTGGACCTAATGGATCACCCTGCTGAACACCGACAGCAGACTCAATAATATGGTTTTGATAAAACAAGTTTGAATTTTGACTGTAACATTGCCAAACGTAATGATATATTTCGGGGGGTATTGTTAGCCACTTCTTTCAGCAGGGTTATCCTATCAATAGAGTTGAAAGCATTTCTAAGATCAACCTTCAGAAGAACATCTGCATCGGAATTAGTTAAGAAAGTACGCACCGAATGTACCGCCGCCTCACAGCCACCTTTGGTGCCAAAGCCTAGTTGAGAAGGTTGAGTTGAAATTTTGTCTTAAGGTTTGAGATTATGTGCCTGCAAGCTAATTTTGAAGTTAAGCGTCGAAATGTAGAACCAACAGCAATAGGACGGATACCGTTATCCTTTTTTTTGAAGGCACACAATCTTGCCCCATATAAGTAGGGAATGAAATTGGGATTGACATTACCAGAAAGCATAAAATTACATAATTTTGTTATGTCATTAAGAAGTACCCCACCGGCATCACCGGCAGATACACTTACAAGGTCTTTGAGATGCTGAGGCGTAATCCCGTCAATGCCGCCGGCAGAGCCATTCGAAAATGACAATATTGCGTCTAAAGTGTCTTTTTCGGAAACTTGTAATGGTTGCATAGAAGTATTAGGAGGCAGCGATAAATTCTGGGAAGGATTGACCGAAGGATGTTTCTGACGAAGGCCTTCAAGAGTTTCGACATTACGAGGAGGGAGGATGTCATCTGAGAATAAAATACGGGATGCATTTTTTAAGTCGCCGTCCATTACTTTTGATTCAACTACTTTTTTTTAAATCAAATTTAGGATTAGGTCGAGGGAAATGAGTATTAATCGGGTAATTCAAATTTTGAAAAAGAATTTTCTTTTAGTTGAGACGTAATTGATTTATTTATTGTTTTACTAAAATGAAAGTGGGAATACGCGAATGTAAATAATTTTTTGCCAACTTTTTTCACAATTCGTTAGACAATTTTGAATGGTTAATGATAACGCTTTAGCAAGTTGCATCCTCGCGCCTCTTGGAAATTTTTTTAACCACTGGTACGTTACTATACAAATTGTATAATTGTTTCGAAAAAAAGTGAAGAATTTGTGTCATTAGGTATATATTATCAGAAGAGTCATGAATTTCTACGGTAAGCTGTGAAGCCGAAATATTTTTACTATGGCATCGTTTAATGTGTATATTTAATCCCTTTTTACCTTTAAACAGCCTACCGTCGGTACAATTTTGACATCGTAGGAAATCCGGCTGTGAATGTATTGGAGCGATAATATTCATAGAAAATGTAAAAAAAATAAAAATGTAAAAATATATCTACAGCACTCAAAAGTATATAATTTATATATATTATATATATTATATATTTATATAATTTAGTAAAAATCAAAAGCTTGAAAATTAAAAGAAAAACCTAGTTCTCAAGGTTCGTTTATCGCCTTAAAGCAATCTAATATTAATATTGTGTACGATGAATCACCAGGCGTTGCATCTTGAAGTGACCTACAACTATAACCGCTTACAGTTGATGGTTTCAAAGCTTCTTTTGGTGACAATCTCAATAAAACGCTCAAACATCTCAATAAAAACGCGGCATTCGTGGTTTTCTTGGGATCAGTAGAAGTGTAGTGAGCATTGATTTTGTTATTTTGACGTTGTTCTATTTTCTCTTTTAATATTTCTTTAAAGGTCTCCCTGGCATTAATGTTGCAAAATAAAATATATTCTTGGTGTATTCGGCCATCGTCATTTCGTGTCATCACTTCAGGCAAACGAACTTGTAAATATATTATCACATATTCATTAATATTGAAATATATTATTTACATAAAACGTTATTTTTAGGAATTTCAGGAATAAAATATAAATATATTCTAATTAAAATATTTGGTTAAAATATTTATATATAAAATATATAATATATATATCAAATTATTTTTTTCCTTTCTGAATAGACTAAGGAATAAGTAAATAAATGAATTTAAGATTAAGATTTTAATAACAGTAGGTAAATAGAAGGTACATGGATGAAGTATTCACCAACAAACTACGCTGCAGTTTGGCGAAAGTGGTATAAGAAACACCCGACTGTAATTATGTGTATGTATGTGTATGTAAGACACTTAAAAAAAGTTTTGGTCTGTGGGATCCCGTGGCAACAATAATGTTCTGAATTTCTTCTGGTAGCTACTTCATAATGTAAAGTTTGAATGTAATTTATTTAAAACAGCAAAGAACTTTTTAAATTAGCTTCATAACTCTGATTAATTAGAAAATTAACTACAAAATTACCGAAAAATTCTGCTTTTTTCTGCATATATTCCGTATCAAAATGGAGTTACGGTAGACCTTTACATTTAAAAGGGTTTCTCTATGTTCACCAACGACAGTTTCGCGGCCTAAGTTAGATTAAGATTTGTAGGTAATCTTTAATAAAGGTAGGAGTGTAAATGAGAGCTTGAAGATACTAAGTGAAAACCAAGTATCTTAAACCACTGTGTGCTTAAAAGTCGCCGTGTCTTTAAATTTAATAATAGCTTTTTGATATATAATAATCTATTAAAATAATATTATGAATCGCAAGTATCAAATATAATACTGTTCAATAATGTTAAAATATTTGGTATTTTTGTAAATACAAAACATCCTGTCCAATTTAAACAAGAAAATATTAGACTGAAAATTTAAAACAATAGAACGTCTGCAGAATGTCATTTATTTTCCTGGTTTGCAAAGATCGTGTCCGGAATGTAAAAAGTATCAGTGAATTACTTAATTGATTAAACTTTGTAAAAAAATAGAAAAGATGAGATATCTAATATACTTGGAGAATTTTGCGCCTGTATTCAGGATTAATATCAAGTTATTTTTTTCCTTTCTGAATAGACTAAGGAATATCACAATGTCAATATCGTCTAAATGGTTATATTCTAGCAGGAGTACCGCGCTGTGTACCGGCCTCAAGGGTATAGAGAAGCAGTATAATAACAAGTTGTAAAGCATTCCATCTAAATCTAATACGTGGTAGAGCCACGCTGCAGCTACGTTATGGTTGTAGCACGAATGGGTTAGCTCATCCAGGGAAAGATCACGCTCTCACGGAATACCAGCGTAAAATAGCATCTTAATGCTGCTGTTTTTATTATGATGAGTGTAGAGAACCGGAGGCCCTTTTTACTGGAAACGAGGCATTCTACCTTAGTCCACACGGGTGACAACGCATCTGCATTTTGATTCTTAATCAAGGATACATATGTAGATGTCTATGGGCCACAGCAACCACTTACTGTCAAGGTGTGCTCGTTTGTCACCCGTATCCTATAAAAAATATTTCTATAAAAAATTCCACCTCTAATGATTACATTAAAATAACTTCCTTTTGAGCAATTTGATTTAGATTTAGATTAGATTTGATTTGGTTTTTACTTTTGTTAACAGTTACAATTATTTAATTTATAGTAAGGTCTAGTAAAAAATTCCACGCTTTTAATACGTAAAGTTTTAACAAGCATGAATAAAAAGTATATAAAGAATAGAATTTTTTGTCATCGTTTGAATGAGCTTTGTGGTAGAGACGTTAGTAGAGGTTAGCTTATTCTGTTGTGTTTCATATAATTTACATCAAGAAAATTACCTACGTATTTAATTGGACGGTAAAAATAAAAGGACATGTAAAAACTAATGACAATTAAAACCTTACTTTTGTAGTAGCGTGATAAAAATTCACCATTTTGTTCCATCCGACCTATTTCGTCTACGTCGTCATGGGTGTCATTGGAGACGACCATGGGAAATGTCTGAAAAATTTTAAAGCTTCGTACAGATGGCGGTATACAGTCTCGTTTACACCTGTCGTAAAATATTAAGATCGTTGATAGACGACAGCGGCAAAGGTATATCTGGTACTTATTGTATTGATCGTATATATTATATCTGTGGAAGAGCCGTGCTGGAACTTTATACAGATACAAAATTATTGATTATTTTGCATCTATTCTCAATATGTAGTTGTTTTGTATAAGTTAACGCACATCGCAGCAAAACTCCTGATACCAGCCACACCATCTGGATGGTTTGCCGTTCACCACTATACGTATATATGTTACTATATATATATACGTTACACTAGGAGTTTTTTTCTGCGTGGTTTTCTTTGTGGAGTAATTTACCACCTGCGATTTTTCTAGACCAACACGACTTAGGGACTTTCATGAAAAGAGCTTACTCCTTTTTTAAAAGACAGGCAACGCGCCTGCAATTCCTCTGGTATTCGCTAGTCACTTAACACCAGGTGAGCCGTATAATCGTTTGCCCCCTCTCCTATAAAAATCAATTATCCTACGTCTGAGGTGAAAGATCAAATTTTAAAGGGGTTGTTGTCAAAAATAATATTGTGTGTGAGCGATTATTCAACTTGCTCTCTTGCTTACGCAAGTAATTATTCTCAGCAACAAAACAGCGCAACGCACTTAACATTTATCGTAGCCAATGATGTATAATACGTCATTGATCGTAGCACGATTAAATTTTGAATAACATTATATATTATGTCAGTCACAATCAGAATGATTCACGTAATTACAATGTACACACTTTGCCTCAGAATGCTCATATTTTCTACTTCTGGCGGAAAAAACAAAAGAAACGTAACAACGTAAACGTAAATACAACGTAAACGTAACAACGTAAAATCTTAAATACGTCAAACTATATATCGCTGTAACAAGTAGGGGTTACGAGTTCTTCCCCCACCCCGATTCCTCTTGTTACACATATAATAATTTATACTAACATCCCTGTGGGCTAAGATGGAATGCCTCATCAGCAGTAAAGTAGAGCTCGGATTTTTGTGACTCATCATATTATGATACACTTCAGCATTATACTGCTATTTTACGTAGGATACTTTGAGTGCGGGCATGATAAGATGAACGTAGAATTTTTGTGTCATTTCTATTAAAATAACTCATAGACATACATACGCTTTCTTAGATACTACTGTTTTTGTTTTATTAATAATTCTGTTCGGAGCTTTTGAAAAGGTTTAATTCGAAAATGTCCCTTAATCTTCTTATGGCGGATTTCAACAAAATAGCCGTCTCAAATACGCCAGATTTGAGATATATTAATCATATAAACGGCAGGGCCCCAGGCGAGGACGGAATTACAGCGGAGCTTCTGAAAGCGGGTGGAACACCGGTACTTGAAGTCCTTCAGAAGCTTTTCAATTCCGTCCTCCATGGTGGCACTACTCCGGAGGCGTGGAGCAACAGTGCGGTGGTCTTATTTTTCAAGAAAGGTGACAACGCCCTCTTGAAGAACTACAGACCGATATCCCTTCTGAGCCGCGTCTATGTGCTGTTTTCGAGAGTCATAACGAATCGTCTCGCATGCAGACTCGACGACTTCCAGCCTCCCGAACAAGCCGGTTTCCGAAAAGACTTCAGTAGCCTGTCGTGAGGGCTCTTAAACCAATGCTGTTGACCTATTTGGAAGCCAGCCGGGAACCTTTGCGAGACGGACTCGATTCTCTTTGGCGCCGCAGTGGCAGTTTGCCGTATTATTGGCGCCAAACTTCCCATGGCTGGACGCGCTACTACACAAAGTAGCGCCATCCCAGCCTGGAGAAAAAGAATCGAGGACCGTATCGCAAAGGCAAGGGCCCTTATCGGCTGACTGACAAGCTTCAGGTCGGGTAATAATAGACCGAGGATTATGCGCACCGTTAGGATGGCGTTTGCTGGGACAAATATCAGTTTGTCCCAGCCGGATATCACGCAGAAACTAACGGAGCGCATAGACGACCTGAAGCAAAAGATCGCTGCTTGGGGGAAGCGGATTCGACGATTTTCCGAGAGGTCAAGGCGGTTCAACCAGAATCGTCTCTTCCAGAGTGATCAGAAGAGGCTCTATAAATCATTGGAGCGACCAAAGGTATGTGGAGCGGGCCAAGGACTGGATCAGGCTGTCATTATCGCATTCCGGCGTGGCCTGTGGTCAGAGCCCGTAAACCACAGCGAGGGCCCTTGGATGGAAGTTGTGGCGAGCCAGGGTGCGAGTGTTACGCCTATGGACCCCATCACCATAACGCCAGAAGACGTGGCTGAGGCGGTCTGTAGGGCCCCGAACTGGAAAAGTCCGGGGCTCGACGGGCTGCATCATTACTGGCTGAAGGGGTTCATAGTATTGTCACGCTGTGCTCGCCCGACAGTTTCAAGAGGCTCTCGACCAGAAGTCACTCCCGAGCCTCTTCACTACTGGAATCACTCACTTGGTTCCTAAAGATCAGGATACCACAGACCCGAGCAAATACCGCCCCATTACGTGTCTACCCACCATATACAAGACACTGACATCCATTTTGAGCGCGAGAATCACTCGTCACCTGGAGATAAACCAGGTGATGTCACGCGATCAAAATGGATGTCGGGGCTGGTCGTGGAACTAAGGAATCACTCCTCATTGACGCGGTCATAGGCAAAGTGGTGAAACGCAACCGTCGGAACTTCTCTGCCGCCTGGATAGACTACAGAAAGGCGTTCGACTCGGTGCCCCATACATGGCTAAAGAGGGGTCCTCGAGCTGTACAAGATTGACTGTACAGTTAGAGACTTCCTCGAGCAGTGTATGGGGCAGTGGAGTACGATCCTTTGTCATCTGGGCGAG